CACTACATAAATTAGGTTGCGAAATTCTAGCTTGAAGTGCAAAAAGTCGTACTCACACGCAGATAACACACAAAGTGCTTACAATTAATTTCGAAATCAAGGCGACCAAGTTAATTCATGCCTAAGGATGCATTCTGTCGAACGCTCCTTACTTTAAGTGATTTAACGATTAATTTCCTATAATGCGAGTCCAAAGTGAGACTGAAGGTGTACTATTGATACGCAGACGGTAGTAATTGTCATGTCAATTTCAAAATTATTCGTAATTCAACCGAAGTACACAGATCCAGGATTAGAATAGACAAGCAATCATAACGGAGTGAAGAACGACTCACGTAATCCAATCTCCTAATATTAAACGCGCAGCGCTCTTGACATCAGTAACGCCACCTTTCCGTAATTTACCCATCCTTTGTGCCAATTTACAAAGGAAATTTGTTGTGCTGTCGTACTCCCCGATGGAGTATTGTATCATGATTTGACGTTTTGGACACCAGGATAGAATGGCCGAGACAGCAACTTCTGGTGCTTCAACGCTCTCTAGCTAAAAAGGCAAGCAAAAATTAAAAGAGCTTCAAATCCGATGTTAGTACCAGACATGTAAACAGAGAGAAATAATGCTGAGAGAAATCCCAAAGCGTACCTTTATGCAATTTCTAAGAACCAACTCGCAGGGATCTTCCCCCTTAGACAGTACAATTCCCGGTGAGTCGATTAGATTTATTCTATTATCAAGTTTGTACAACTGGCATTGCTTCGTGAGACCAGGAACACAACTGCTGTGGGCCACTTTGCGGCAGATGAGAGTATTGATAACTGCGCTTTTCCCAGTATTAGGCAGTCCCACAAAGCCGACGGTTAGACCACCACCATTATGGCGACGTATGTTCCCCAACAGAACCATTAAACCATCCACTCCCAGACCGCTAAAAAGTTAAGTATGAAGAAGTCCAAGCACCTTTTTATAGAAAGACTCATGCTCCGAGGAATTTTGCCTTTGATAATCCCCAGCCTGCTAGACTTTTCTTGGATGTTTGACTTGAACGGCATAGTGGTATACCACTTACGGAAGTAATTCAACCACTGCCCCACCACTTCACTAGGAACAAGATCTTACGGCATCGAAATATCAAGGAAACGTCCTACCGATCTTGTTCAAAAGTAATATTAGCTTTTTTCCAGCACCCAGGATTTTATTTTCCACATCAATGCATCGAGTTCCTAGGGGATCTCTAGCATCCAAAACTTCCATAATGACATCCGCCTCATTAATTACATGAGCAAGCTGTCTGCCAAAACTGACACTGACAACTTTGTTCGCTGGCTCTCCCACATTTCGCCCAATCTTCCCAGCACGTTGAAGTAGTATTGACCGCCTTTCGGACTCGATCTATTACATGATAGACAATGTATAAGACCGCCACCTTTTTAGTCTCTTTAATATGTGCCAACAGCTTTTCCTTAAAAGGAAGTGAATTCGGAATACCAGGATCCTTTTCTATGCCAATCAATTCAACCAATAAGTATTACTCTTAAAGGCATTTGGATTCTTTTTTCGTTCCTTCCTAGCCTTGCGGTGATGTTCTCGAATCTTCCTCAGGATTTTATATCTTTTGTGACACGCAACGCGCTTACTCCTGACCTCTACGAAGATTAGCGTAAAAATAAATCAAACTTCGACAGCTCTTCACCATTGCCGTGCACGCGACAACAGTTCGACCTATGACACCTGCTACGACCGCCAACAAGTTAGTCGACTTAAAGTTCAAGCGAGTTAATTTGAATTGAATGGAAACAATAAATGCAGCATTATGT